CAGGAAACTGAAACTGGAAACAGAGCCAGGACTTGAATCCAGACACTGATATGGGATGCTGGTGTCCCACACATCTTTTTTTTATTATTTTATATTTATTTATTTATTCGAAAGTCATAGTTACATAGGGAGAGGAGAGGCAGAGAGAGAGAGGTCTTCCATCCACTGGTTCACTCCCCAGTTGGTCACAATGGCCAGAGCTGTGCCGATCCGAAGCCAGGAGCCAAGAGCTTCTTCTGGTTCTCCCATGTGGAAGTGTAGCAGCCGGGACTCAAACCGGCCCCACAACATCTTAACCCAATCCTTGCACTTGCCCATGTCTGTTTCTTACTTATTTGTAGATCTGTTTATTTTCTAGATGGTAATATTCTTTTATCTGTTATAAGCATGCAAATATCTTTTAAATGGTTTGGGGTTTATCTTTTATCATTTTTCTTGGTGATATTTGTTGTTAGCTATATGATTATTTATTGCTTTAAAAGTTAAAAAAGGCGGGGCCGGCGCTGTGGCACAGAGGGTTAAAGTCCTGGCCTGAAGCACTGCCATCCCATATGGGTGTGGTTCGAGACCTGGCTGCTCCTCTTCCAATCCAGCTCTCTGCTATGGCCTGGGAAAGCCGTAGATGGCCCAAGTGTTTGGGCCCCTGCACCCACGTGGGAGACCTGGAAGAAGCTCCTGGCTCCTGATTTCAGATCGGCACAGCTCCAGCCATTGCAGTCAATTGGGGAGTGAACCATCAGATGGAAGACCTCTCTCTCTCTCTCACTCTCGATCTCACTCTCTCTCTACCTCTTTCCCCCCTCCCTCTCTCTCTCTCTCTCTCTACCTCTCCTCTTTGCATAACTCTGACTTGCAAATAAATAAATCTTTTTTTAAAAAAAGTTTATTCACACTGTTTTGTAACCACTTTCTAACCATTTTGTATTCACGATTGGAAACACAAACGTAATGCAAGAATAAAACATATTTTGGGGGAGAGGGAAAAAAAAGTTTAAAAAGGCAAGTAAAGCACAATTTCACCTTTATTTATTTATTTATTTTATTTTTGACAGGCAGAGTTAGACAGTGAGAGAGAGAGACAGAGAGAAAGGTCTTCCTTCTGTTGGTTCACCCCCCCACCCCCATTGGCCGCTGCAGCCAGCGCTGCGCCGATCCGAAGCCAGGAACCAGGTGATTCTCCGTGGTCTCCCATGGGGTGCAGGGCCCAAGGACTTGGGCCATCCTCCACTGCACTCCCTGGCCACTGCAGAGAGCTGGCCTGGAAGAGGGACAACCGGGACAGAATCCGGCGCCCCGACCGGGACTAGAACCTGGGGTGCTGGCACCGCAGGCAGAGGATTAACCAAGTGAGCTGTGGCGCTGGCCTATTTCACCTTTGTTTTTGTATTTATTTTCATCTACTTGAAAGGGAAAGTAACAGAAAGAGAGAGATATTCCATCCACTGGTTCGCTCCTGAAAAGCTCACAGCAGCTGGGGTTGGGCCAGGCCGAGGCTAGGAGCTAGGAATTCAACCTGGGTGTTCAATGTGGACGGCAGGGGCCCAATCACCTGAGCCATCATCCACTGCCTCTCAGGCTGCATCTGCGGGAAACTGGATCAGAAGCCAAGCAGTCAGGGCTCAGAACAGCACTCCTACACCGTATGTGTCCCAAGCACAGCTTCACCCACTGCGCCACAACGCCTGCTCCAACCTGTGTTTTTTAAACTAGGTAAATGGGGAGCCAGAATTGTGGCACAATGGGTTAAGCTACCACTTGTGATACCAGCATGTCTTGAGGGCGTGGCTTCTAGTCCCAGCTGCTCTTCTTCTGATCCAGCTCCCTGCTAATGTGTCTGGGAAAGCAGCAGAGGATGGCCCAAGTGTTTGGGTCCCTGCACCCACGTGGGAGACCCAGATGGGGTTCCAGTCTCCTGGCTTCAGCCTGGTCCAGACTTGACCTGGGTGTTGTGGCCATTTGGGAAGCAAACCAGCAGATGAAAGATAACACACACATTCTCTCTCTCTCTCTCTCTCTCTCTCTCTCTTTCCCTTTCTCTGTAAGTCTTCCTTTCAAATAAATCTTTTTTTTTTAATTTAAAAGTAGACTGGGTAAATGGATATTTAACTGGCAAATGAGTGTAGTATGATTTATGTTATAGGGGCACGTCAAAAAGTTTGTGGCAGATACGTACTATGAAGACACTAGTTGTGGATTTCACAAATTTTGCAACATAAAGAAACCTATCTTTTAATTCAATTTTTCCAGGGAACTTTTTGAAGTGCCCTCACAGAATAGTTATTTGTTTTCATATTTCGAGCTATTTTATAAAGCAAAAATACAAAAGAATACCAAATAAAGAGAGGTTTAATCTCTCCCTCAGCCCAAGCCCCAAAACAGAGCTCCGTGCACAAGCCCCCTCCCCTCCCAGTTCTTTCTCGTATTTTACGGAAGGCTGTGAACTCAGGCTAAGAAAACTACGTCTGCAAACGACTTGGAATTCTGGGGACATTCTTGGCTGAGACACTCAGTCACAGGAACAGCCGCAGGCCAGATTGTGAAAGAGGCTAACATGTCTCGGGGCGCCTCCATTCCTGTACACCCCCCGCCCTGTCCTTTCCACATCTCCTCCCCCAGGCACCTGGCAGTCACACTGGATTCCCTAACTCCTCTCTCCCACAGCAGGCTGTCACGAAGCGAGAGACTTAGTAAAAATGGACTCAACCCCGTAAGTTCCGCGTTTACTTGTTAAAAAGTATTTAATGTATTGGAAAGGCAGAGAGACACAGAAAGAGAGAGAGAAAAAGACAAAAGAGAAATTTCGTGCACTGGTTTGCTCCCCCAAATGCCCTCAACAGCTAGGGCTAGGCCAGGCTGAAGCCAGGAGCACAGAACCCTATCCAAATCTCCCATGCGGTTGGCAGGGATTCAAGCCCTTGAGCCATACTTGGTTGCCTACCAGGGTGTACATTAGCAGGAAGCTGGATGGGAAGCCGAGCCAAGACTCAAAGCCAGACACTCTGATTATTCAAGTGTCCCAAGGGGCATCTTCACTGCTGTGCCAAATGTCCACCCTGCTATTGTATTCTGAAAGTCTGTAGGGAGTGGGCAAAGCACAACAAAGGAAACTGTCAAAACTCTTAGAGGGGAAGAGGAAGGTGTTTGAAAAGTCTTCGCCCAGTGGCTGGGAACTCCTTGGAAGGTGCCAGCACTTTCACCCCACAGGACTCACTTAGCATGGAGGTCTCCATCGTGTGCAACATGAGAGCCCCAGGGCAAGGCAGTCCTCAGGGCTCCGTAGGCACCAAGCACACACATGTTGGGGGCGTTCAATGACGTGTTGTTTCTTGCTCTGCGCCAGGCACTATGCAGGACATTAGGGATCCGTCATCGAGAAAAGCAGACAAAAGTTCCGCTCCTTAGGGACCATTCCAATCTACATATGTGATGGCGAGGATGGAAGATGAGTGTGCCGAGAAGGACTAAAAATAAAATAGGCAAATTTGTATTATGTGATATTAATATTATACAAGAACTCAGGGGAGGGGCGGCTGGCGTTGTGGCATAGCAGGTAGAGCCGCTGCCTGCAGAGCTGGCATCCCATATGGGTGCTGGTTTGAGTCCCGGCTGCTCCTTTTCTGACCCAGCTCTCTGCTATGGCCTGGGAAAGCCGTAGAAGATGGCCCAAGTCCTTGGGTCCCTGCACCCAGGTGGGAGACCGGAAAGAAGTTTCTGGTTTCAGATCGGCGCAGCTCCAGCCGTTGCAGCCAACTGAAGAGGTAACCAGCGAATGAGAGACCTCTCTCTCTCTCTCCCTCTCTCTGTGCCTCTCCTTCTCTCTGTGTAACTCTTTCAAAAAATAAATAAATCTTAAAAAAAAAAGGGGGGGGGGCGGCGCTGTGATGCAGAAGGTTAATGCCCTGCCCTGAAGCGCCAGCATCCCATATAGGCGCCAGTATCCCACATGGGCGCCAGTTTGAGACACGGCTGCTCCACTTCCAATCCAGCTCTCTGCTATGGCCTGGGAAAGCAGTACAAGATGGCCCAAATCCTTGGGCCCCTGCACCTGCATGGGGGACCCGGAAGAAGCTCCTGGCTCCTGGCTTTGGATTGGAGCAGCTCCAGCCGTCGCAGCCAATTGGGGAGTGAACCATCGGATGGAAGATCTCTCTCTCTCTCTCTCTCTCTGCTGCTCCTCTCTCTGTGTAACTGTGACTTTCAAATAAATAAATAAATCTTAAAAAAAAAAAAAAAGGAACTTAGGAACAAAGAAAGCAGGAAGAGGGATGAGCATTTTTGCAGAGAGAGGGGCCATTGTGATTAGACATGAAGGATCAGGGAAAGCTTCCTGGAGAAGGTGTCATTTGAGCAAATAAGGGAGAGGAGTGAGCCCTGAGGCCATGTAGGGAAAAGGGAGCAGCAAAGGTAGGTCCTGCCCAGTGCTTTAGCATTTCCTGTCATTTCAAGATTGACCCTCTCAAGCGCTAAGAATGTGTTATGCTGTTACTTGCTTCCGTGATTTGCATTTACCAGCGCATTGGCCTGATATTTCTCCATGTGTTTTCTTCTGCCGGCCAACTCCTATTTGTCCTTGGGAACCCTCATTTCAGATGCCACCTCCCTTAGGCAAGCTTCCTCAGTTCCTGTAGGAAGCTGCCATTGTTACTACACTTGTGCTCCCACAATCCTTTGTGCACTTCTTACTAGAAACTCTTAGTACCTTAGTACCATCACTTGTGTTTTGCAGAATTTTCCCAACCAGGGTGAGCTATTACTATCATCATTGCTTTTAGACCTAGGAGAAAACCCATGGTAATAGCTTAGGGAACCTGTCCTGGGTCATTGGCTGGATTTGGAAGGCCAGATGTTAAGGGCAACAACCCATATTCCAAAACAGATTTCCTGCAATGCTAGGATGGTAGGGTGAATTATATTTATGTGAGAATTTTCTACTACATCTTGAACAACTTGAGGTCAGGCGCCACTTCTATTTGATGAGAGAGTATTGAATAAATATTTGTTCAGTGAATAAAGGGATGAATTAGTAACCAAGAGTTCAGGCATTCACGTGGAATTTATTTTTGAGCAAGAGGCCTCCCGGTGTTACCTAAATCTTACCTCACAAATGACTACTTACTCCACCTGGCCTCACCCCACCAAGTAAATGGTAGGGAAAGGGATGATTTTGGCATTTGACTACTGTTTTTCCATTTTGGGCACTCTTAAGTAAATTGGTTTGCAACAACTAGGGGAGGGCTCAGGTTGAAGAATGAAGCAATAGTGAATGAGTGGTAGGCACCCGAGCACATCGGACCAGAGACCACTGAGTGTCTCAGCCCGGGTGCCTCTGTATCCAGCTGGTATCTGTGTTCCCCTCCCAAACACACAGGCAAGCCTCAGATGCCAGGCAGAACACAGCTCCCAGTTTCCCTAGTCTTCGTGAAAAGTTGGAAGGTATAGTTTTCCATTGGCCGATCTGTAAGGTAATAACAAGATGCTATGTTCGTCACTCAGGTACAGGAGAGACAGAAGGGAAGATGGTCTGAGACTGACCACAAAGGGGAAGAAAGGTGACCTTGAAGAAGGCCGCTTCCTTCCAAGGGCTCATCCTCCTGCCTGGTAGGCAGTCCAGGTAGGAATGCCAGCTGAGTGAGTTCGCTGTATCCACGGGAGGGAAAAATGCTAGAGTTGGTGTTTTCTTCCAAATCAGGATGAAGAAGCATTTACGCTGCCTATTTTAGTTTCTAAGGGGCTGTCTGTAGCAACGCCTCACTATTAAGCTCAGGATCACTATTGCCACCACTCCGTTTCTGTCACTCACTCATTCAACGCCACGGAGTGGTGTTCAGGATCCACCAGGTCAGGGCAATGAGCCCCCAGAAGCCCCAGAGACCAAGGGTACAATTTCCCAGAGGCCCTGGCAGAAGGGGAGCTGCGATCCTTGTCTGTCAGGCCACCTCAGTGGTCCAGAACAAAGGCTTCAAGGACCAATCATACTCCAGCACAGTGATGGAAATTTTAGTTCTTTCCCTACAGGGGCGGTTGGATGGGAGCAGAGTTATCAGCATCTTTTAACTGAATTATCTTATTGCTTAAACTTGAAAGCATGCCGTATGCTTTAAGGGGTGGGGGCATGGAAGAACTGAGATAAGAGCCCTGCACCTCTGTGGGGGTCGATAAGATCTCAGCTCAGGTGGGGAGGTGGGGAGAAGGGACGGACACCGCATCCCACCCCCACTCTCTCTCCAGCCTGGAGCGTCCCAATCTCCAAGTCTACCCTTGTCGCATTCTTGCTGTCTGTCACCCACGTGCAGCTGCGTGGAGGTGACGCACGACCCCCTGCTGTCTCTGTGTAAACCGAAAGTGCCATTCTGAGCACTCCCTCCCAGCTAGAATCCGGTGCTCTCATTTTACAGCTCTCAGCCCTATCAACTGTTTTCATCTCAACGTGATTTTACGGTATGTTATCTGGAGAGCCCAGGGCTGCTGACCAGAGAGCTGGGAGTCAAGGCAGTCCGGAGGGGAGGAGTGGGAGAGAGGTTGGGGAGGAGGGAGCACTGTGGGGTGGGGGAAGGGGGAAGGAGGGGAGGGAAAGCATTTGAAGGGGGTGCTGCTCCCCTGTGTGCGTTCTCTCCGTCTGTGGCGCACGTCGTATGCTTTTCTCTACATGGTTCTGCATGGGAGGTGAGGCGATTCTTGAATGCTTTGAACTCATTGGAGTCACAACTTTCCCTGTCAAGCCCGTAGCTTGGACCTGGTGCTTTGCACTTCGAGACGCAGTACCTGGAGAGTGTTTATGCCTCACTAACATTTCCAAACTACACCATCAAAAAAATAAGTCGAGGAAAAACAGTTTAGCTTGGTTTAGCATCTGCCGCTTTCTAAAGAGGACAAGGACTTCTTTCCACCCCGGCACGGCCCTTTGAGCGGGGCGGTGCTGCTCTCCACATTTTATGGCTGAGGCAAGTGAGGCGCTGGAGAGTTAAAAAACGTACCCAAGGTGACGTGCCGGGTTTACGTGAGTAACAGGACGCAAACAGAACGCAGCTGGGGAGCCAGGCACAGCGGACAGCAAGGCAAAGGATCCCCACTTCCTGCAACCTGAGAAATGGAGACAGTGCCCCTGGCAGAAGACGCAGCCCTGCGCTTCCTCTCCTTCTCGCCAGCGCCCTCCCGGCTCCAGACTTGAAGCATCATAGGATTTTTTTTTTTCAACAGGACCCCTTTTATTCTGCTTGGAACCAATTTTATAAAAAAAAAAAAAAACACTTTTCCTGGAGGTTTTAGAACCAGCAGCTGTTGCCAGGGTCAGCCAACAATGATGTTCAAGCCGTAGCCTCCCTTCACCCCTAGGGGAGAGGGCAGGGTGGACAGTGACTCATCAGAACCGGGAGGTGGGGAGAGCTGGGCAGCGTGACCCCGGGTGTTTGTCTGAGGTTCCCAGTCCTGTCCTCCACGGAGCGATGAGCAGAGGCCAAAGCTGTGGCCTGCGCCCTAGCCCCAAAGGGGCTTCCTCCTAGACCTGAGGCTTGGATAGAATCCCAGCTTTAAAAATATAACAATTAAAATAGAAAAACAAATAGAAATACTACTGCCCACTCTCTCTTTCTGTGTGTGTGTGTGTGTGTGTGTGTGTGTTAAAAAAAAAAAAAAAAAAAAGCATGCGCACGCTCCATTGCGTCTCTATTGTAATTTCTTGCCCAGGGAATTCTGGGTGTTAATGTTGTCTCAACTCTGAGGTCAAGGGAGTTCAGAGTGATTTCCCAGAACCTAGCGGGGTGCTTGCTGCTCAGTGAGTACTTACGGATGGACGGACCCTCCCAACCTCAACCACATACCGGCAAGGCAAAGAAGAAGTATGAAGAGACGAGCTCCACTCGGCTGCTGAGTGTGTGCAAATGAGGAAGGATCTCAACGTTCCGGGAAGGCTTCTGTGACACGGGGGTAGATCCACACACTTAGCTCTCTACCTTAGATCTGAGACTTGAGAGAATAAGGAGAGGGCAAGAAGCAGGTGGCGGAGGGGCTGGAGGGAGGCAGGGTCCTTGGAAGCAGGTGGCACCATCTGGTTTACCATTTGGCAGGCCAAGGGATACCCTGGCTGTGCAGCGTCCCTTAAGGAGTCCTTTAATCCCTACTTCCCTCAGTCTTCTCATCTGTAAAATGTGATCAACTGTTGATGCCGATTTCAATGGCAGATTAAAGGCTTAGATCAGGCAGTGAGTGTGGAGCAACCTGGTGAGCTGGGAGGAGAACATTACCGTGCCTTCCCGGAGCAGGGCCTGGTCTTACCCAGCTTCATCTCCCCATCTACCCAGAGTAAATGGAGGGACATTAGAAGCACTCGACAGAGGAATAATTAAAGGATGGCTAATAGCTTCCTGATGGCCGCCATCTGGGAGAGTGCTTCAGGGGAAATGGCGCACACTAGGAGCGGGTGCTTGGAGGGGTGTTGCAAGTATTCCAAACAAACAAGGGGCGTCTTGGGAATCCTGGATGCCAGAGAAGATGGATCTTCCTGGTATCTCGAAGAGTCCTCCTAGCATTATGGGCATCTGTAAGTACAGCCACCAACTGAAGGGGAGCTGCAGAGGAACCTTAGGAGGGCAAAGGGAGGCTGGCACAGCTGGATCAATTACACGGAAGAAAGAATCCAAGTTGCAGGCACAGCAGTGCAGGCACGCGCTGAGAGACAGTGTTCTGTGCCGCGCTCATTGTGAGTGGGCGACCACACGGGGCGGTGAACGCCCTCTGTTCGGCGGCATCATGGCGGGGATCTTGGCCAGCCCCGGGGGGGGGGGGGGAGCAGTCCTCTGATGTGACTCTCAGCCCTGGGCTTGAGAAGACAGATTTCCTGAAAGGCCAGCCAGCCCTGAGCTGAAACCTCGCCTTTCCCAGAACACAGTCACGGCCGAGCCCAGCTTCACTTTAGAAGGTCCTTCCTTCCCCGCATCTCCTCAGGAGGGAGGCTCTCACTGATGGGAGCTGTGTGCCCTCTCCAGGTGAGATGGAAATGAAGATACACTGAGATCAGCTCTCCGGAGGCCTCCAGGCTCCGCGCAGTCCCTCTAGGGGTCCCTCTTCCCTCATTCCACTCCAGGCTACGCCCTGCACCATTTGCACAGGTACAAATGGGTTCTCACTCGCTTTCTTTTTATTTTATGTTTTAAAAGATTTTAATTATTTATTTGAGAGGTAGAGTTACAGACAGTGAGAGGGAGAGACAGAGAGAAAGGTCTTCCTTTCACTGGTTCACTCCCCAGATGGCTGCAATGGCTGGAGCTGCGCCAAGGAGCTTCCTCCGGGTCTCCCACGCAGGTGCAGGGGGCCAAGGACTTGGGCCATCTTGTACTGCTTTCCCAGGCCACAGCAGAGAGCTGGATTGGAAGAGGAGCAGCCGGGACTGCGCCCATATGGGATGCCTGCACCATAGGTGGAGGATTAACCTACTGCGCCATGGAGCTGGCCCCCACTCACTTTCTTTTTAAACTGGGGTGATCTGAGTACACACGGAACCTGAGAAGAAGGGGCCAGGCAAAGAGACAGATATGTCATTTCTAACTGTAATATTTTTGACCAACCCCAAATGCTACCAACCTTAAGATGAATACTTAAAACTAAGAGAAAAAAATGCTGCCAAATTAGGACATGGTGTTTTGATTTCAGATATTTTTAAATGAGGGAAATAGATAATACAGTCAACATAAACACACTCCCATGTCCATTTCAAAGTAAGTCATTAGCCAAGCATTAGATAGCTAGCATTTACTTATTTACTGTTATTGTAGTTTGTAATAATTCATTTCACCAACAGTCTGGCCAACGAGTGAGTGAATGAATGGGTGAAATAATCAAAACTGGACTGCCAGTCCAGAAGCTAGCACGAATGGCTTCCTTCTGTTTTTTGCTTATCTCAGAAAAAGGCCCAATGCGTAGGCCACAAGTGCAAGGTAGAGGAGCACTGGTTAAGTTCTAAAAGAGGTATGAAAACCAGAGTGAGGAGTGGGCCGTGCTGTAGGTGAGGGAGAGAAAAGTTGCTAAATAAGCAGCATATCTAGGTGGTGGCTGTGTCTCGGCCATCCCCCAGCCCCGGTCTCGTGATTGAGCAGCAACAATGTCTAGGCGGTGAGCAGTGTTCTGGGTGAGACTGCCACCTATTGAAGGACCGTCACCACACCTGAGGATTTCTTCCAGGGCTTCCGAGTGACAGGAGAGAAGGGAAGCAGCCTCAGAAATGGGCCTGAGCGAGAAAAAAACAACCTGACAACAAATAACTCGGAACCTAAAACTGAAATTTTCTTTAAAGATTTATTTATGTACTTGAAAAGCAGAGTTATAGAGAGAGAGAGAGAGAGATCCTCCATCTGCTGGTTCGCTCCCCAAATGGCCACAATGGTCAGAGTTGGGCTGGTCTGCAGCCAGGAGCCAGGAGCTTCCTCTGGGTCTCCCACTTGGGTAGCTGGGGCCCAAGCACTTGGGGCATCCTCTGCTGCTTTCCCAGGTGCATTAGCAGGGAGCTGGATTGGAAATGGAGCAGCTGGGACTTGAACCAGTGCCCATATGGGATGCTGGCATCGCAAGTGGCGCCCTCAGTAGCTATGCCACAATGCCAGTCCCCTAAAACTAAATTTTTATCTAAGCTGTGAAGACAAAAATAAATGAGAAATCCATCTTTCTTTCTTTTTCTTTAAAATATTTGTTTATTTATTTGAACGAGTGGAGTGAGGGGTTGGGAGCAGGTAAGGTGGGAGAGAGAGAGATTTATCCACTGGTTCACTCTCCAAATGGACACAACAGCCAGGGCTGAGCCAGGTCAAAGTCAGGTGCCTGGAAATTCATCTGGGTCTCCTATGTGGGTGGCAGGGGCCCAAGTCCATGGGCCATCATCACTGCTTTCCCAGGTGTATGGCAGGGAGCTGGATGGAGAGCAGAGCAGCCAGCATTGGCACTCCTATATGGGATGTCAGCATCACCAGCTATGGCGCCAGGGGCCCCATCAGGAAGCCTTCTTGGTGAGAGGTTGAAGAATCTAGACAATCTTGAACCAAACAGCCAGGGCTCTGTTGACTTCCATGCCCTGTGCTGTGTAATGTTGTAGGTCATTTCCACACCACACGTAGCTACAATGAGCACAGAAGTACACCTAAACCCTAAGGCTTCTGAACCTTTATCATGTGCCTCACAAATGCACCTGTTTCACCTTCCTTCATCCCATTAATATTCATGGAGCAATTATCATATGCAAGCATGGTCTCCATGGTCTCCACAACGGGAAAGAACACTGAACAAAGGCGGCACCCAGGGTGCTGCTCTCAAGGAGGTTATCTGCAGGGGAGGAGGAGCAGTCAGACAGAAAACAAACAAGTGCTTAGGCAATTCCAGACAGTGACAAATGCTGCACAGAAAACAGAACTGGAAAATGGGATAATTGCGGTCACGTCATTGAAACCTACCAAAGACCTCAGGAGATAATACTATTCCATTCTACAGACCCCGCTCAAAGTCAAACTCGACTGTGCACAAGTGAATGAATAAACCAACCAGCAAGGCTTTGACTTTTCCCTTCCGAGTCCCAGGCCTGTCTCACACCATGTGACAGTCCAGTCATCCCTAGTCCACTGTGAACATTACTCATAATGCCCAGATGCCCGCAGCAGGGCATGTAGACAAAAGATAATGCCACGTAGGGATTCACACATATTTTTCAGAATCTGATGGTTCTTGATCTTTACAAAAATCCTTATTAGTTGGAAGCTAAAACACAAAATAAAACAAGATAACCTCAATCTAAAGACAGAATAGTGATTAGTGGAGGCTGGGAGGAGTACGGTGGGCTAGAAGGAGTTCTGCTAACAGGTACCAAACCAGAGTTTGAGCAAAGGAATAATTCCTAGTGCTGCACAGCATAGCAGGATGATTATAATTCAGAACAATCTAGTACATATTTTATGAACAAATAGAAGAAAGGAGTCTCAAGCCTCCAAACATAAAAGGACTGGAGAAATGTTGCTTACCGTGATTTGATCAATTGCCATCATATATACGTATTGAAGTGTCACACTGTAGCCCATAAATACGTACAACTATTGTTAATCAATTTAAAAAAATAAAAGAGTAACCTTAAGGAGGAAAAAACAAGCAAAGCCTCTCTGTACCTGCCATATGTGGCAGTGCTCATGTTCAAGGCTACTTCCACAAATTCATGGAAAGGTGCAATTACAAGAGAAGTTTACTTTAGTGCATAAAACTCAAAGTCCATGCGTAGTTTTTCAAGTCTCACTTTCCACAAACTTTTGCAACTCTCATATTTGGCATTAAGACTTCTGTTTCTCTTGTAAATTCAAGAATGTATATAATTACTTTATTACACAGATCTCATCATGCTAGAAGATATGAAGACTTCCTTGTGCTTTCACGTTAAATTGTCTTTTCCAGGAAGACGGGAAGAAGAGCCCCGGGGAGCCCACCGTGTGTGTGGTCCTCGCCGGGTCATCTGTAAGGGATCCTGGGCAGTAGAGGAGGCTGCTCTTGGTGTTGAGGTTGGAAGGGTCT